GTATGCGAGGAGATTCAGGAAACAGGGGTGGGATCACAAACCGGGGGGGGGAAAGGGGGAGGGAAGGGCGGGAAAGGGGGCAGGACGAGGGGCGGGAAGAGCGCGGGAAAGGGGGCCGGAATGTTGCGGATTGAGGGTGGTCAGGCGCGGGGAAGGAAGGGGACGAGTAGTGGAGAGTGGAAACAGCAGATAGGGATACCGATGGTTATGTATGCGAGGAGATTCAGGAAGGCATGGGGAATTATCCACAGCGATGGGTATAAGCCACGGGATTGCCGGGGGTCGGCAATTGACGAGAAGCGGACTTCTATTGCTGTAATTCACACGAAGATGGTGCCGTTAATTATAGTTTTCTTTAGGAGAACCATTCGTAAGAAGGCCGATGCGTGCGATGGCTCAAGCAAACACACACACATCGTGAGAGGTTGACGTCATCATCGCCTCTGAATGCAGCCGAGCTCCGTGGCCGTGATCCCCGTCAATGGCATTTCCTCTCAGCTACCCCCGCTCTCGGGAAAGAAGAACTCCTGAGAGCGGGTAGCCGAGCTCCGTGGCCGTGATCCCCATCAATAACTGATAACAGATTTGTTTGGAAAAGGAGGAGCGAATTTGCGAAAGCGAAACTTCAGCACGAGGCACGAGGTTTGTTGGATCCACTTGCGGCCCTCAGCAGCAGAGCCACCCGCTCTCGGGAAAGAAGAACTCCAATAAGAGATTTTATTTATTTATTTTTTTTGGGTCAGCTAACTGCTGTCACGAACCTGGGTTACCTTCTTTCCCCGAATACCACGTACGGTCGTTATAGCTGTGTTTAGACGGTATGATCTTTCCCCGAATACCACGTACGGTCATTATAGCTGTGTTTAGACGGTATGATACCCCAAAGGCAGCTATACTGGCCGTACGTTGTATTCGGGGGAAGAAGGTAATGCAAGGATGTGGCTGCGAAGCGCTGGGGGGGAGGCGTTAGTGATACTGATGATGATGACGTCGATGGTGATGCATAGCGATGAATGGAAGAGGTAATGCTGATGCAGGGGCTGACGATGGCGGTGATGAATAATCATTCATGACGATGAAGATGATGATGGAATGAAGATGATGCTAATGACGACGATGACGATTGCTGTGATGATGTCAGCATAATTTTTTTTTGGAGTCGTAGGGCCTACCAGAAGGTTGAGGTTGTTAGAGCAGAGTACTCACTCGAAGACTTTCTGGAGTGAATCTGGCCGTTATTGTGATTGTATACGACCAGTACGGCCAAGTCTAATTGCCCCTACTTGCGACTCAATCTGACCGCCGAGGACCGATGAGGAGATCGCACCTGCGCACTGAAGATGCTGTCAGTCGGAGGTGGAAGTTTGTCGTTTTTCTCGCGCAAACCAACTGATCTTCGGACAAAAACCGCATCGCTGGATGATGGGCAGCTCTTGATAACCATTGCCATTGATGACAATAGATGATGATGGTGATCGTCGATGTCCATCTCATCTTGCAAAACTTGCATCGCTGGCTGGGGAGCTCTTGTACTGTAATAACGACTGCTGGTGATTCATGCGAATCTTTGACGAGTAACACGTATGAAGTTTCATTACTGATTCTCAGTGAGCGTGTGCAGAAGCAATTGGTCATTGCTTGTCATCATTCTTCTTCTTCTTCTTCTTTGACGAGAACTGATGATAATTGATCATGATTATCATAAAGGAAAACACCGGCACGACAGACAAAAGTTGTTGAGCATCAATCTATCAATCTGCCCGACTCGAATCGACGGCAGGAGCGGATGCCACGTGGCGGCTGAGGATGGTTGACGATGTGAAGCGGACTATATTAGGTGTTCCTCTTCGCTTGAGTCGCAACAATGCAGTACCGGTTTTCGTTGAAGCCAAAGGATCCGCCTCCATGACTAAGGAATAAAACCAACCCCATAGCCGCTGCTGAAACTGACCTCCATAGCTGCTGAAACTGACCGTCATCGGTTTTCATCGTGTACGCCAGATAAGGGAGGATGAGTCACGAAGCGACCCCGTAGCTGCTGAAACCGACCCCCGTACCTGCTGAAACCGACCCCCGTAGCTTCTGAAACCGACCCCCCCTTAGCTGTTGAAACCGACCTCCATAGCAGCGGAAACCGACCCCCATAGCTGCCGAAACCAACCCCGCAACTCGAGGGTTGAGTGGAACGAAACGTGACTCAGGTATTTTTTAATCACTTTTGCAAATCGAGTGCGCACTCGAGTTTCAAGTGAAAGGGCCTCGCTGCACTACTCTTGAAATGCACAAAAGACAAAAATCATGGCCGTGTATCTGTCCATATTCTAGCGGAAGATTCACTCTCGTTTTGCACATTTCGAGAGTAGTGCAGCGAGGCCCAACGTGGTGTGGAACGAGGCCCTTAGTGGTAATCAGGCCACGCGGGGAGGTAGCCCACTTTCAGAGAAGACGAGAGCTGGCGTTGAACTTTTCTTTCAGGCAACTCTGAGGCAAACTTTCAGGCCGTGAACTGCGAGGGAGTTGCAGGCCGTGCGGTGTGGAACTTGGCAGATAAAATTTTCGGCGCGCTGGTCCTGAACCCGCAGGGTACACCTGAACTCAAGTGAGGAAATTCGGCGGGATGGTTGGACGGAGTTCCCGCCAAGTTCTAGATCGGAGATTGGCGAGATCCCTGTCGTATCTGGACACGTGTGTGTGACTGTCGTGGCCTGTCTGGAAGTGCGCGGGACACGTGGAGAGCCACACGGCGTGTGACACCCTATAGTGTGACGACACGTCATCACGAACAAATTCGTGAACAACTTTTTTTTTTTTTTTTTTTTTTTGACAAAGGAGCGCCAGACAACTTCGACGTTAAAGAAAACGAGCGCGACGCGTGCAGAGCCCTGGACAGGAAGAACGGCAGCCAAAAGGGGAAACGAAAACGGCAGCGAAAAACGGAAAGAGGAGCGGCAGCCCATGAGTGGATGGAGAGATGGCCGACTACCGTAGTCTCAATGATAATATCTCAAGGCCGTCGCCCTTAGAAAAAAAAAAAAAAATCGGGACATCGAGTCTCGCTCCACTACATTGTCTACCGCGTGGGCGGGGAACGCAGCCCTAAGGTAGCCAAATCAATCGCACAAGAGAGAGAGAGAGAGAGAGAGAGAGAGAGAGAGAGAGAGTTCTGTTCCATTTATTGTTATGAGTGTGAGAGAGAGACAGAGAGTGAGGGAGAGAACGAAAGAGAAACAGAGAGAGAGGGAGGGGGG